GAGAGAGAGAGAGAGAGAGAGAGAGAGAGAGAGAGAGAGAGAGAGAGAGAGAGAGATACGGCGCCTAGCAGCGAGACGCCTGCAGCTGACTGGGCTACTAAGCGCGTACGCAGGCCCGGCTGTTTACCTAGCTGTCTTGTAAACCTCCTTTAGAGGGATAATTCGAGCGCTTGTGACCTTGCGTTTGGACGCTACCAAAAAATAGTTCGCAATTTCCTTTTGAGTCAGGGAACTGATTCGGTTCGAGGAATTTAATTGTCTTGGTGCGGCTGCCCTGAAGTAGTAGGCACCCCGATATCCTCGGGCGTGCGCGTCACCAAACGGAGGCGTGACGTTGAACCTTTCACTGATGATTTGTCCTTATCTTCTTTTACAGGAAACATGAAAATGACTAATGGTGCGACAGTGTCTCCCCGTTTGCCGAAGAGCAGGGTCGCAAAACGACAAGCGTCGGGCAAAGTCCGGCCACTAGCAGGTTCGTCGGCGCTAGGTACTCTACAAAACTTATTAGGTTTGTCAAAGACTCTCACGACAAGAGGCGGGCGTAACTTGTCGCTCCCTCAAAGACGCTAATACCCTCAATATGACTGAAACGGATACATTTCTTTCCGTCATGCTCATTTTCGTCTCCTCAGTGTGACTTTGGCTCTGAGCCTGGCGCCAAATTACCTGTTTCTTGTCGTCCGTATAGGAATAAATACCTATCGTAAGTGTGCTTTTTACTCTGATTACGACGCACTGTGAATGCTTGCAAAGTGTACTTGGTTCGTATCAAGAGTATACAAACTGTATGCTTTGCAACTTGCAAAGAATTTTCAAGTACTGCATAGCGGCCAATTTTTCACGCGCTTGCAAACTAATTTATTTGCAATGCGGGCTATCCGTATTCTGGCGGAAAAGACATAGTTTGCAATACAAATAACAAAAATTCTTCTGAATGTAAAAAAGTGAAATAAATGAAATCCTTTGCAACGTTGCAAATACATCGACTTCGCAAGCATTTTCCAGTTCGTGGTACTTTTGGGCGCATGGCCCTGGGGAACGGCACCGTGTACTGACGCTCCCTCTCTTTTTTCTCGATTGCAGAGGAGCTCCGCGCCAGCGTGGACCCGTGCGATAACTCGAGCGACTCTGGCCTCGGCTTCGACCAGCACCTCGACTACCACTTCAATGTTCGGCAGAACTTGGCGTACCTCGAACAAGAGGTGAGTGAGAGAGGTCCACGGTTGTGATTTCTCTTATAGATTAATTTAACTTTTCTTTTTAAATAACGAATGGAAGAGCCTGGCCGAGGCTTGCTTCGCTATCCGCCCATGCTCACGCCCTTCTCGTGCTCCTTTGCAGAACTGGTACGACGAGCAGCCCGAGCTGAAGCGCCGCCGCGTGGACATCCGGGCCGAGTCGGATGACGCCAGCGACTACTTCTGCGAGAACATAATGCGCGTGAAGGGTCCGTCGGACTCGAGCCGGCTGGTGCCCGAGCCGCTGCTGCGCTCCGCGGGCGGGCCGGGGCTGCGCGTCAACCCCAGCGTGGTGGGCCGGCCGATGACGCGGGCCTCGGGCCTGGTGCACGCCGTCCCCCTCACGCCGCTCACCTCGCTGTCCGGGCTGGGCCGGCGCGGGCCGCCGCAGCACGGCCACCACCACCAGGGCCACCCGCAGCCGCACGCGCAGCACCCGCTGCCCGCCGGGCCCGTCACCCTCACCTCGCCGCTCAGCCACACCAGCCGCGACGGCCGCGTGCAGCTGCAGATGGTGTGCCAGCCCGAGACGCAGCACCGGGCGCGCTACCAGACCGAGGGCAGCAGGGGCGCCGTCAAGGACCGCTCCGGCAACGGCTTCCCCGTCGTCAAGGTATGTATGTACCCTATCTGTCCTGTCTGTCCTGTCTGTTCTGTCTGCTCTATCTGTTCTGACTGTTCTGTCTGCTCTATCTGTTCTGTCTGCTCTGTCTCTTCTGACTGTTCTGTCTGTCTGCTCTGTCTCTTCTGACTGTTCTGTCTGTCTGCTCTGTCTGTTCTGACTGTTCTGTCTGTTCTGTCTGTTCTGTCTGTTCTGTCTGTATGTCTGTCCGTCTGTCTGTCTGTCCGTCTGTCCGTCTGTCAGTCCGTCCGTCCGTCCGTCTGTCTGTCCGTCTGTCCATCCCTGTCTCTCGTTCCACCATGGACAAGAACTGTGTCCATGGTTCCACCCCACCTGTCCCGGTCGAGCGCCTGCAGCGTAGGCAGTCCCGCCGCACGCCGGAGCGCGCGCCGTGCGAGGTTGCCTACCCTGTGGTCCGCAGGCGCTCGGTGCCGCACGCCTACCCCCCATGATGGTACTCACCTTTCTCTTTCCTTCTTTCAGCTGTCTGGCTACAACAAGGCCACCACCCTCCAGGTATTTATCGGCACCGACCAGGGCAAAGTCGCGCCGCACATGTTCTACCAGGCGTGCCGCGTCTGCGGTAAAAACTCGACCCCGTGCGTCGAGAAGAAGATGGACGGCACCGTCGTCATTGAGGTTGACTTTGAGCCGTCCAAGGAAATGACAGTCACGTATGTTCTGTTTAACGTCGTCTCGTACACACTATCATAGGAAGGAACTTTTTTTTTTGTCACGAGAAAGAAGCAATTTTGTGCACATCATTTGCTTGAGACAAATGTTACCATTATTAGGATAATTTCTATTCAAGCTGGTTCAAGTTGTCTTAAGAGTGTTAAAAATTTGTCCCAATCAATGTGCCAGAAATTGCGTCCTTTCTTTGGAGGAAAAACAGTCCCTTCCCATTTAGTGAGTCCTTCCAATTGTGAAATTTGATTTTTGAGTGTGACTGACAGTTTTTCTTTTAAAAACTTTTTTGCAGTTGTGACTGTGTTGGGATTCTTAAAGAAAGAAATGTTGATGTTGAGCACCGGTTTCCTGATCAGACTACAAGTCGAAGTAAAAAGAAATCCACAAGGTGCCGAATGGTGTTTAGAGCGACAATTATGAATGATGATGGAACAACAGAAGTACTACAAGTAACATCACAGCCGATAGTGTGCAGTAAGTGTTTATAAATTATTTTTACACTTTTAATCTAATCTATATCTTTGTTAGTTTTACACTTTGTTATGATTGTTTTCAGCCCAGCCTCCTGGTGTACCTGAAATATGTAAGAAATCCCTTACTACTGCTCCCTGTACTGGTGGCATGGAACTTTTCATTATTGGCAAGAACTTTTTAAAAGACACTCGAGTCATTTTTTTTAAAGAAGATGAAAGCTGTTGTTGGAAAGAAGTTGTTGCACC